TTAGTTCTTCCCCAGCACATTTGGATAACAGGTTGGTGCAATGTAACGGTTTGTCAAGAGGCTTAAAACCCTCAGCTCCAGCTCTCAGCCTGTTGTTAGGCTGACTGAAAGTTAGGGTGAGACAGCATTTCCAGCAGAGCGACCGTCGTTCATGGGACTTCAAAGCCCTCGGCAGTAACATACGGGTGAAGTCACTCAGACTTCATCCATTTATATTTACAGTCTATCTACAAAACACGTTACTTTGTAATTCATTACCCCTAACAGTATTCAAAATTGGCTAAAAATGTCTCACTGGAGCTTTAAAGGGTGATCAAAATAAATCATTAAGTCATTTACTTTAACTTTTTGCAGTTCATAGGGCAAGTCGGTGTTGAGAAGATTTTCCACAAACCAAGAAATTGACCTAAAAAGCAGGCTATGGCTGCTCATGGACTCATTGTTGACCATGTCAGCTGTTACAGGCCTCACTAAAGCTGGTGGTCATGACAGCTGCTTCTCTATGCTGCAGCAGCAAAGCAGAAGTACCATGGTTACCTTGATAAAGAAGAACATAGAAAAAGAGCAGCACGTTTTTTTTTAAATGGAGAAGGACACAGTCAAAGATGAGCTGGATGATACGATGCATGCCCACTCTACAGTTTTACAGTTTCTATTCTCTACTCGTGTGAAATCAATAAATTACAGTCAATCTTGGAACCTGTCAGATGACAAAGCAATTGTCAATTTTAGAGGCTTCCAGTGTATCAAGCTGTTAGCAATAAGGACGTCTGGGCATGACTTCCCTTTGTTCACTGCCTGACCAGCAACATGGGAGGCAAGAATTGAGTTGATGCTAAGAGAACAGGTCAAAGAACAGATTGATAGCTGGATTTGTATGCAGAAATCTTTTTAAATACATCAATTCAAGTTCAATTGAGATAATATGACATTTGATGGGCCCAGATCTGGGATCAGTTTTCTGTTTATCGTAAAAGTTTAACTCGCCAGCTCAGGGCCCATCAAATGTCATATTATCTCAATTGAACTTGAATTGATGTATTTAAAAAGATTTCTGCATACAAATCCAGCTATCAATCTGTTCTTTGACCTGTTCTCTTAGCATCAACTCAATTCTTGCCTCCCATGTTGCTGGTCAGGCAGTGAACAAAGGGAAGTCATGCCCAGACGTCCTTATTGCTAACAGCTTGATACACTGGAAGCCTCTAAAATTGACAATTGCTTTGTCATCTGACAGGTTCCAAGATTGACTGTAATTTATTGATTTCACACGAGTAGAGAATAGAAACTGTAAAACTGTAGAGTGGGCATGCATCGTATCATCCAGCTCATCTTTGACTGTGTCCTTCTCCATTTAAAAAAAAACGTGCTGCTCTTTTTCTATGTTCTTCTTTATCAAGGTAACCATGGTACTTCTGCTTTGCTGCTGCAGCATAGAGAAGCAGCTGTCATGACCACCAGCTTTAGTGAGGCCTGTAACAGCTGACATGGTCAACAATGAGTCCATGAGCAGCCATAGCCTGCTTTTTAGGTCAATTTCTTGGTTTGTGGAAAATCTTCTCAACACCGACTTGCCCTATGAACTGCAAAAAGTTAAAGTAAATGACTTAATGATTTATTTTGATCACCCTTTAAAGCTCCAGTGAGACATTTTTAGCCAATTTTGAATACTGTTAGGGGTAATGAATTACAAAGTAACGTGTTTTGTAGATAGACTGTAAATATAAATGGATGAAGTCTGAGTGACTTCACCCGTATGTTACTGCCGAGGGCTTTGAAGTCCCATGAACGACGGTCGCTCTGCTGGAAATGCTGTCTCACCCTAACTTTCAGTCAGCCTAACAACAGGCTGAGAGCTGGAGCTGAGGGTTTTAAGCCTCTTGACAAACCGTTACATTGCACCAACCTGTTATCCAAATGTGCTGGGGAAGAACTAATTAGACCAATTTCTTTGTGTAAACCAGGCTGTCAACGTGTTAATTTCTGCTGCAAAAAGTTGTTTTTAATGTGTGAATGCGACTTCCGGTGCTTCCACAGCCAGTCTGAAGCAGACACTCGACGAACTACAGGATTACGCACCTCGGCATCATCTTCAGTTTTCAACACATGAAGTAACTGCTTTATGCTGCGTCAACATCCCAACATCCTTCTGGATTACTTCAAACTTCTTTTGCCAAACACAAATTTGCCACGTGCATTGAAAATTGAATATTAGTGATTGAAATTTTCTCAATATCTGTATTTGTTTTTTCTTTAGGTGATGAATTGTTCATAGAGTTTATGCTCGTGTAATTAGCTGGCTTATTCTCAAATCTGTGTGTTATGTCTCTAATCAATGATGTCTCTGCTTTGATTATAATGGACACAGTCATTTCCTTAGGGTAAGGAGCCATCCCAAATGCACATAATAGAGCCAAATTTGTCACTTTAGGGGCCAGTAGTACTTTTTAAACGCTTAACATCTAAATTACTTCTTTGATCTAAGTCGTCAGTACTTTTCCAAACATTTCGAGTTTTTCATGTCCATACCAATCCTGTTTGATTTGACTCTCCTCTGTAGTATCCCTCACATAGAGAGAAACTGGAAGAGAGGGTTGTTGTGAAAATGAATTTCCCATCAAATCCTGACGGTGTGACAGAAAGAACATCCTGCCTGTCTCACTGTGCTTGTTTAAAAGTCAGCGGTGAATAAAGATGCCATCCTCAGCTCTTACCTGGAGTGTTGAGCAGTCTGGACATGCGACAGCTGTAGGCGATTTGCTGCTCACAGCTTCCTGCACTGGTGGTGATGGCTGTCATCTGGAAACAAGCACACAGATGTAGTTCTTCAGTATACCGTAGTCAGCCAGACAGGTCCATTTGGTGTTGAAACAAATTACTAGGCAGCAAAATGAAGTGACATGTACTCTACTAATGTCGTTTTACTAGAGCTTCAGGTGATTCAGAGAAGCTGAAAATGGAACCAATGATCTATTAGGAGGAATCACAATGACAGGACGGAGCTCACGTTCTTATTGTTTATGACACTGCTGAAGGTGTAGCTTATTTTTAGACAATCTTAGAAGATGTATGAATTTC